GCAAAAAAGAACATCCATTACTTAAAGAGCTTAGAATATGATGAAAATAGGATGAAAGGAGGATTTCCTAGACAAATGATAAGGCTTGGAATATATATGACATTGCCTTTAGACACGTGTAAAGGACCTATTGATAATTTACTTTCTGTCTGCTTGAGTATAAGGCGTAGGAAAGTTACACATAATTAGGTAGCCATAAGTAAGTGATTCTTGGAACAGAATGGTTTTATTTCAATGGTAGTATTTAATGTTCTACAAAATGCAAACTTAATGAGAAGATTCTGACATGAGAATGAGCTTGCAATCCACAAGAAGGTATGGGTATTGAGAGTAAGCCCATTTTGCTGTTACTCAGGTACTCAAATGGAGTTAGATTTTTAAATACTTTAAGTTTCATCCCAGTTTTATATTAAGAGCTGAGTCTACAAGTGGGAAATTGCATTTTTGGAAGAATGTTTCACTTTATGGATGTGCATGTGTGACATGAGTGTGCACGGTGTGAGTGTGTGTGTGTGTGCATGCGTGTGTGGGCTCGTACGAGCATGGACACCTGTTCTCATTGGTTGGGTAGAGAAAGGAGAGAGGATGTGGTGAGCTGACATGTGAATGACGGGAAAATGCAGGCTATCTTAGAGAAATTGTGAGTCAGCCAGCACAAGCACTAGTCTAGTAGTAAGCGAGAGATTTAGAAATGGCCACTGAAAGTATAAAGCAGGAGATTTTTAGACGAACCATGAGAGACGATGGACTCTGAAAAACAAACTGAGGGTTCTAGAGGGGAGGGGGGTGGGGGGATGGGTTAGCCTGGTGATGGGTATTAAAGAGGGTACGTACTGAATGGAGCACTGGGTGTTATACGCAAACAATGTATCATGGAACACTGCATCAAAAACTAATGATGTAATGTATGGTGATTAACATAACAATAAAAAAATTTAAAGAAAAAAAGCAGTAGATTTTTTTGGGAGCCGACGGGGCGGGGGGATTCTGCATATCTTGGAAGGGAGAGTTTAGTTCTTAAACAAAATCCAGTGAACTCCTGAGTCTCGATCTAAACAGTATCAAAGAAAACTATTTTAATTGGAAACTGAGGTTTGAATTTGGGGCCCAGGCAAAAAAAAAAGCCTTACTTTGGTTAGTAATATGATTCAAACTGTTATATAAGACAGGTACACACAAAGAGGTGAAGAGTCTTAGACATATTAAAAATGTTAACAATTCTTATCTCTGAATGGTGATATCATGGCAATTTTTAATTTCTTCTTTTTATGCTTCTTTGTAGTTATTAGTTTCATGAGTTAATATATATTAATTTTGTAGTTAGGCAAAAAAACAACAAACACTATTTTGAAAATAAATTTAATCATGGGTTTTTTGGGGGGGTATGATCTAATCCAGGAGTCTAGGGGTGGTGGAGTATGACACAGGTTACCACCAAAATATACCAATTAAATAAGAGTATGGTCACGGTGATACTATGCTCCACGCAGGATCTAAACGTGCTTCACTTTTAAAGCCCTTGCCTGGGGCTCCTGGGTGGCTCAGTCAGTTAAGTGTCCAACTCTGTTTCAGTTCAGGTCATGATCTCATGGGTCATGGGATCAAGTCCCACATTGGTTCCGTGCTTAGCAGGGAGTGTGCTTGAAGAATCCCTCTGCCCCTCACCCCAGTCATTCCCTCTCTCTCTTTCTCTCTGAAATAAATAAATAAGTCTTAAAAAAAAAAAAAAAAAAAGCCCTTGACTGATAGCAGGAGTGTGACGTGATGGAATTACAGAGTCAGCAAGGACTCAGACACCATAGTAGACCTTCTCTCTTTTGTAGTATCTCTCCTTTATTATCTTTCTCACCCAGATTTAGCTGGATTATTTTGGCCCCACCATTTTAATGTAGTAATACATCCCCTTTCCCTGAATCAGGTGATCCATCGTTTTGGGGATGGTGGGCATGAAACTCCTTCAAATCTCTTCCAGTCTTATTTAGTTAAGACAAAATTGGACTTTTTCAAAAAGGAGCTTCCACCAGGAAATAAAAAGAAAAAACAAAACCAGACATTTTGAGATAGACATGTTTTAAAGCACAGCCTTCTATCTTAATACTGAAATCAGATCTTGGCATGTTCCAGTACCCACACAAATTCTGCATTGTTGGTGAGAGCCTGAAGGAAATGTTAGGATTTTGGCAGTTGTTGACTATTCAGTTTTGTTACTATGTTTTTTGCCCTCTTAGGAATGTATGTTTTCCCAAAAGAAAACATAATTAAAGAGTCCCAGTATCTGATATTAACAGGCAAGTGGGTAACATGACAATACATCACTCTATCCTAAGGTCTTCAAAGAATCTGGCAAGAAATCTGAAATTTTTCAGGAAAACTGAAATTTTTAAAGCAGTAAAGTGTATTAAAACACACTTTAATCTATATGTGTTTTCTTTTCTTTTTTATTTTATAACTGGAAATTTGTACCTCTTAATTCACTTCACCTATTTCACTCCCCCCTCCCCCATGTGGTTCATAGTTCCCTTTGACTTAGGAAACATTAAACAAGGTGATTGTACAAATTCTTGTTGAGGTTCCTCTAACTAAATTCCAATTAGTGGCCTGACAGAAACAGCATCCAGGAGGCTTTGTCTACAGATGCTCTTCTGTCCTTGACTGTGGCAATAATGATCCTCAAACTTGTCCAGATGTAGGGAGGCCATTATCTTCTTTCTCTCCTTCTCCTCTTTCTTCCCTTCCTATTGCATTTCTAGGTCCCTGAAATCCTCCTGGTCCTAGAGGTATTAAACCTCTCCCTTGTAAATCTGAGGTCCCTCAAACCCTGCCTGCCTTGTATACTGACTTTCATTGACCCTTCTTCTGAGGATATCTATAACTTAGGAATCTTTAGGAAAGCTAGCCCTTACTCTTGAAGCATTTGTGGGTTTTATAGAGTTTCTCTCAAGCGTGCTTTTAACTCAGTATCGAGCTGACTGCTAAAATTCAGCTTTAAGTGATGCACTGGGTAAGTTCTCACTAGATGCTCTGGGAATTGAATGACAGACACCATTTTTCCTGGAGTCTGGATCAGTCACATGAGCACGATCCTTTGGTTAGACTCTTCCACATCTCTGTTTAAGAGTGTATTTCTCCTTTAACGTTGCTACAATCTGTCTGAGGGATGTCTTCCAGTCCCAATTAATCCAGAAGTAAGAGAGGAATAACAGACTGCGTCCACTGAACAACCAAGCATTTTCTAATTCGGGTTATACTTTATTGTAACAAAGATCTTTGCTCAATCTCTAGGGGCTTCTAGAAGAGGAATACAGTGACCCTTGTCTTTCTGCAGAGAAGTGAGAGGGAAAACCGGGGGCTTTGGTAGATATATTTCCCCCATGCTTAATCCTCAAGTGAGAATCTTCCTATCCTTCAGGTGTACTGTTTGCTTAAGATAGTCACACACATCACACATGTCAGTGAAGTGATGTCAAATGGAAAGTGTGGAGATAGTCAGGAGATGTGAAGGGCCAGGTTTGGGTACAAGGCTGTGTCCAGAGGCATGTCTTAACCTTTTGGATTAGGGACTACCCAGTAACCACCCTGAGTTTAATTTTTTATTGTCTTGAGTCTAAATTGCTTGGGGTAATAATTGTTGGTCCTAAAATAGGTTACTGATGTGATAATTTCCTTGTCTTTTTTAAATGTCACGATCTTGAATCATACTTATTGACACTTGTCTTCCTGAGGCTTTTGAGTCCATCAAATGTGTGAAGATTTCATTTTGGTTAATTTCATTGTTTTCTGGCTTTCATCTAAAACTGCCCATTGGCATTTCCCTGCCAAGGTGTAGCTGTAGCTGGAACCCATAAAGCCATATGTGTTGATAAAGGTCATTTAGTCCTACCAATTAGAAAATAAGCTACATTGTTTCTGGTTAGGGATTCCATGCACATTTTTAAAAAAGGAAATGCCAAAAGAGAGTTTTTTTTTTTCTCCTTGCAGAAGTTAATTTGATTCATTAAAGGGCTGAGAATTCTCCAGCCAGAAAATCAGTTTTTTAGTGGGCATCAGGTTGGGACAGGGCAGATCACCAAGAAGAAAGACTCCAAGAAACAGGATAAAAGAGAAAAGAAAAATAAGTGTCTACATAGGCTTTTATTTTTGTTGTTTCTAAATTTGCATGTGTGCTCTTCTTCCGTATCACCGGAGATTCCTAATGAGAACACTCTTATTTTGTGTCTTAAAGAAATCTAGTGATGATTTTTAAGCAGTCGAAAGCAGAGATCTTTTATAAAGCTTTTTGAAGTAATTGAGGTGGCCTTCCAGGTAACCCATATTGTAAGATCTAGATTTGAAATAGGCATTTTTGGTGGTGGTGGGAAGAGAAGGGGTTGCATCAGCAAAAATTTTACTACTTTGTCCCTTCTTTCATACTGTGTAATTCTGAGAGCTCTTAAACCATGGTAAGGAAGTGAGTATGCTTTGCGTTTCTCTAAGGATCTAACTGAGGGCATCCATCTAAATAAGCATTTCTAGGAATGCAGGTTTAATGACAGGTAATTCTGATTGGAGAAATAAGATTTTACAGAGAGAGCCTAGGGAAGCAAATAAAACCTGCGTGTGGGGTTTGGCCAAAGAAATGCAGCGCTCCTGGAGGGCGGGAGACATGTATTTTCCATCCTTCTCCGAACCCAGAGTCCCAGATTTGTGACTGATACTTATCTATGGTACACAAGTAATGAAATGAGTAATGTCAGTTGCGGAGGGACAGAGGCAGGGCGGGCTCTGCCTGGTCGTGGGGTAGCCCGGCGCCCGGCTATGTCACTCAGGCTCCGAGATAACCTAGGGTTGAGACATAGGGCCAGGACACGGCTCCTTCCGGCCTCCCCCATAGTGCGGCTCGAATCTTCTGAAGCTGCCAGTTGCCAAATGAAATCTGAAACCCTGGGCTGCGTCCGAGGGTTGGCCCCGCTCAGTTGTTCCAGCCTCTTGTACTGTATATTTACACATTCACACACAATCACTCTAACTTCTGGGACTCTTTGCGCAACTGCTAGGATTTCTCAAGTGCATGTGGCAACTCAGCCCAGCTCTGGGGGAAACCGACTTGGCTCCGGAGGTTCTCCAAGGCCGGGGGAGCTGTCACGACTGCGGCGGGGACAGGCGAGGATCGAGGCGCGGGCGGTGGTGGGGGGAAACACCCACAACTTTCCACCCTAGCTGCAGCTCCTTCGGCCGCTGAGCATTTCCTCCGAAACCACAGCTGCGGAGCCACCAAGTGCATGGGGCGCAACACTTCCCCTTGTTGTGGGAAGTAAAGTAGCCGTCCCTCCTCCCTTTTTCTTTTCCTTTTCCTTCGGCTTGTCCTGGGAGCCTTTCCCTTTGGAGCAGCCGCCGTCCCGCGTCTGTCGTGTCCTCGGAGCAGGGTAGGTAGGTGACGCTGCGCCGGGGTGCCACCGCGGGAAGCTGAGATGCGGCCCCGGGCGCGCGCGGGGGCTGCAGCCACAGCTGCCTGCGACAGGGAGGGGAGCTGCTGGGGGCGAGGAGGGATCGCCGGAATCCCGTGCTGGTGCCGTGGTGTGTGTGTGTGTGTGTGTGTGTGTGTGTGTGTGTGTGTGTGAATGTTTGAAAGCAATGCTTTTATTTTTAAAAGGAAGAAAAGATGTAAGCTGGTAGTATGTGTTTCTGGCCTTAAACATAGATGGAATTAAGAAAAATCGTGCAGTTCAGCTCCCTTACTATCCATCCTTCCTTCTCGATCCAACCGCCCCCCGCCCCGCCCCGCCCCTCCTTCCCTGTTTGTTTCCACTAGTGTCTTGCGAGAGTTTCCTAGATAACAGGCACACAGAGGTAGGTCTTAATAATGAACTCTTTTATTGCCAACGTAAAATAATGGGGAATCTTTGGTGAATTTTAAGCCACCCAAAAGATTTTGTTTAGATTTTTTTAAAAGTAACTTTTTGAAGACGTTATCCATCCTTTCTTGAGTATAAATATATGTTGTCCTTTAAAAAAATAGCGTGGACTGTATTTCTTTTGTAAGTCCCCAAATAGAAGGGGAGATAATACTCTTAGAGAAATATTCTTAGAGATATTAGGTTTTCAATACCAACTAGTAATAGGGAGCCCAGACTCCCTATATGTAGTCTAGGTCTATTTAATTCATTTGAATTAAAAGATAATCTCCAGACTATTTGTGTTTCCGTTATAGTTTTTGTTACTTTTTTTTTAAACCTTAGCAAGACATCATCATTTCATCTCTTTCTAAAAAGAGGAAATACATAAGTCATGCTGGATATTTGAAATATAAAAGTTGTAAGGGGTTTGCTTATGCATAAGTAAAACAATGTGTGTTGCTGTGTCTACTAAGGAAGACAAATTAATTGAAACCTGGAGTATTTACAGTACAGTTAAGAGCTTTACTCAATTACTGAGAAGAAGATGGACAGACGGATTAAATACAAACAATCTGTCCCCTGATTCTAATTAGAACTCAAAACCAACCCTTAAGGGCAAGAATGGATGTTGGTATTAAGCTGGGCATCATAAAACACAGAGAATTAATATATTAGGAAAAACCAGAAAAGTATAAAGCCACATCAGACTTGTTAAGATCTCGCTCTCCCTTTTAAATTTCTTAATACTTCCTCTTCTCTGGGGACATTTCAACTACTAAAGGAGCCCAATAATACAATTCCCCTTTTTGTCTTTCTTGAGTGCCTGATCTTTAGGTAAGAAGTCAAGGAGTCCGTTCTTTAGATCCATTACTGAGTTGTCAGAGAATTCACGTTAGACATCTTGGAGGACTGAAATACTGGCAAAACTTTAAAATAAATAACATTCTCTTTCCACTCAGAGAAGGTATGTTCTTAGGGGAAGACCTTTAAGTGGGAATAAGGGAGAAACTATGAGTTTTTCAGATCTGGAATTTAGTTTGGGATATGTGTAAGGAATACATGAGTGTGATAAAGAGAAGGAGAATCTGTCATTTTTTTCTGCATCTGAAAGTCTGTTGAAACTCAGTCTGTCCTTGGCTTTCAACTGTATTATTTTGTTTTATTACTTAATCTCAGGGATTTGGGATTGAGAGGTGGATGGTTTCTGAGTAGTGTTCTTTTGTGCTGTGTGTACTGGTGAATTTGAATCATTTTGAAAATACAGCCTGATAGTAAATGACAAAAAACTAAGTTCTCGAGAGAAAAAAAAAGTCACTGAAGAAGAAATAGCACTGTACCCTTCCAGACAAGAATATAGGTTTAAGTGTAAAAGAGAAAAGTGTTCTGGGCTTAAATCTCCAGTGAGGTCCTTTCGGGTTTTTCTTGGTATAGTAATGGCCAAAGCTCTGAGAATTTTTACTGGTCAGGGATTTATTTGGACTCTCTAGGATGGAGGGTGGGGGGTAAGGGAAAGGGCAGGAAGGGTAAGGAATGTGCAACAGGTGGTAATAAGTGGTTTGAGTCTGATTGCTTTGCTGTCTTGGCCAAAGCCGAGTTAGTGTTTACCAACAGTGCCTTAGTAGTATTGTTGTGACCTTCTGGCCCATTCAAGTGTGTTTTCTTTCTGGCTCGATTAGTGTCTGGGTTGGTTTCATAAGGCTAAGAGCAAGCAGAACTGCTGCAAAATCCAGACCATGCATTTTGTTTCTGTTTTTAGTGTTAGCAGTGCTGTGGGATCATCTCAGTTACCTGTAGTTATTTTCCTTTGGTATTTCTGGCTGGTAATAAAAGGTTCTTTCCTGGTGAGTTGAGCTTATGTAATGCTGATCCCTTCTTTCTGCCATGTGTCAATTTTTGGTAAAGGTGAGAGCTTTGGAAAAAAAGATGGAGGAGGTGGATAGAGCCTCAACTTGGAGGCCAGTGGAAAGCACAGCCCCTCAGTTAGTCACACCTGGTTGGAGGAGGTTGATGATAAGAGGAAGAACCTGAGGCATCCATTCCACAGTGGTCATATTTTCCTGAGAAAAAAAGGCCCCTGCAATTTAAAATCCAAAGATGCTTGTTTACTCTTAAATCCATGGCTAAAGGACTAATATTTCTCCCAGATGGAGAAGGGTATTTAAAAATAAAATTGTAAATGATCAACTTTGCCGTGAAGTTAATGCTCTTCATGTGAAGAGTTCAAGCCTCAGACTGAGTCTTGAAATGATGACCCGTCTTGACTTTGCTACTTGAACTCAAACTTTATAAGATTATGATAGTTTCAGTGGCTAAGTAGAGGTACATTTGGAAGTGGGGGGATTTTTCTGATGAGATACAAGGAATGTTCAGTTTTCAGAGGTTATTGTGTACATGTGTGCTTTTAAGCAGCATCTACTCCCAACCATGGCATTGCTACAACCAATCTTTATACAGGACAGATCTAATTGTGTCAATCCCTTGTTCTAAAACCTTTGATGGATCCCAGGATCCCAATTATCCTACAACAGTAACTCTAAACTCTTTAGTATAGTGACTGAAAGCTTTTCAAAGCCCTTCCTTTTAGCTTCTTCTTGCTGCACAAGGGCCCCTCATTGTTCACACTTCTGATTTTTTGCTCATGGATTTCTATTCTCCAGGAATTCCCTTTGCCTGGAAAGTCCCACTTGATTCTTGGTGGTCCATTTCAACTGGAACTTTCTCTGGGTGAATTTACCCAGTTCTATGTAGGAAAGATAAATCATTTCATCTTGTCTGCTTTCATGGTGTTTTGAACATACTTCGAATAATTATTTTGAATAATTTTTATTATTAAAATATTACTACCAATCAACTATAGTGAGTTCCTTAGCAGTTATATTGGTGGTGGAGGACCCACCTGCATCCTAGTGCCTAGCCCAGTGTCTGAAACATATAGTAGATATGTGTTAATGTTTCCTTAATAAATGGGCAAGCAAAGTTATGAATGAATAAAGTACTGGTGGACTCCAATTTATGCAGATAGTTTTTTTTCCCCAAAGGTCCCATTTGAAAAATATCTATTTGGACTCAGAGTTCATTTTCCAAAAGTAACAATGCTACAAAATGTAATTTGCTTTCTAGACCAGCCCACGCATGTCTATTTAATTCCTATAATAGATGAAATTTGTGCTTTTGAAATGATAAAGCAAAAGCAAAGCAAAACAAAAAACTACTTTGGAATCATCGTTTTCTTTTGAAAAAACACAAGGTACACTCGAGTTTAAAGATAATAGAAACAGTTCTAATAGATACACATTTTTCACAATTGTTTTTTATATGATACTATAAATCTGTAATCTATCAAATCCCAGTGGGAGGTGCTGGTTTTGGCTGTGAGGAGTAATAGTGGAGTTAAATTTAGAGATTCTACTGCCTGTGGATGGGCAATAATTTTAATTAATCAAACAAAATAGAAATACTAATTTTGGCTATTTAATAATTATCTTGAGTGCTAGTGCTTGAAGGAAGTTGGATTTAATTAAAGGAGAATGTGGAGGTGGATGGAGAGGAGGAAATTCAGAGGGGCATCTTTTTTCATGTTACTGATTTTTTATTATATGGGTTTTCTTTTCATCTCATTTGAGCACTTAGGCCAAATCCAAAGTTTCTTCCTGAAAAAATTTGTCTTACTCTATGGTTATTTCTGCTGCCTGACATGTAGAAGGGGGTTGCTCTCCATTTGAACCAAAATACAAATGGGCTTTCTTTCATTTTCCGAGCAGTGTTTCCTCTGGCACCTGCATGCCTCTAGATAATTTTCCAATCAAGAATGCATCGTGTTTTAGTCACCAGCCAGACACTAAGCTCAAATTGTTCCTTATGTAGTATCTCTGAGAAGAGTGGAAGAGCAAGCATTGATATTTAGGAGTAAGAGTCTACTTAGTTTTCTAAATCTTCCATGCTCCCTATTTTTACCAGATTAATATGACCAGAAGCTTACCTATCCCACTCACTTTACAACACCTTTTCATTAGATTGTCTTCATCACACTGTGCTTTAATGTAGTACCCTAGATTTTACTGAGTCAACGTAAAAGAGATAGGCTGCATGGAGAATATCTCTGCACTTCTTGTTATGTATTTCAATATTCCTTACATAAAGATCTCCATAAATTCATTTTTGCTTTTACTGCTTTAAAAAGTGTGCCTCTTCTGATTAGTGTTGTTTCTTCTGTTAAAAGAAAGGAGACTAAGAAATCACCATGTTTCTCAGTTTGGCTTGTCACCCGAGAAGATCAGAACTAAATCTGATCCTTAGTTGTACCCTGGTCAAGGTCTGCTTATGACACAGTTTGCATCTTTTTATGTACCGATTATTCCATACCCTTTAAGTTAACTCAAATCCATTATGGAAATAGATTGAATTACCTTCATTTTGTATATTTTTTACTCTTTTTAGACATGTAGTTAAATATTTATAAGTCTCTATTTTGTAACTTCAGTTTAGTATTTTAGAGCCAATAATTTTTCCAGACCTTTTTTTGTGTATGT